GATCTTTGCAAGATTGTGATAAAGGTTTATGCATTTCCCAAGTGTAGTATACAGTCACTAGTGCTAAGCTTCAACGACCCACTGCACTGCTGTGGCAGTGTTTTCTTTTGTTTTTTTTGTTTTTTTTCATTTTAGCTTGCAAGTTAATATGTCACAAGAAATGCCTGACCAAAATCATCACAGACTGCTCGACACGGTGCGCCAGACAGGTAGGAACTCACATTTTAAATGATGATGAATGATTGTAAGTCAAAAAAATATAGACATCACTTTCTTTAAATCTCTGACCCCTCTTGTCGTTGCTTGTGATAGGACAACAGTGTACCAGGCTCCCTTCACTTTGGGGTGCAGGTGTGTGTCCTCACCAGTCAAGCCAACCCTGTGCCTAAAGTGGTGGAGTTGCTGCTGATGCATGTGGAGCTAAACGGCCTCTACACGGAGGGTATTTACCGAAAGTCAGGCTCAGCCTGTCGAGCGAGGGAGCTCCACCAGATTCTGGAAACTGGTGAGACATTCTTTGAGCAGCTGAAACTTGAAATGCAAAACATTTTGTATTAGGAATCTGACAAATCCTGTCAGTTACAGTCTGTTCACAGGTTAGAGATCCACATAACATTGTGTACCTTGTATTATTAATTGGCATCAGTGGTGTGGAGCAAGAACAGCTATAGTCAATGTAATTTTTGCCAACTTTACGTTACCAGGAACCTTTTTTATTATCTACCAGGGAGAAATGATATGACATAATGTATTCTCTCTCTTAATTTCCCATATTATCTCTATTTTTATTTCCTTTTTGTCTTTCTTGGTCTAATCACTTCTGTTAATTTGTAAGTTTACTTATTTATTTTCTAATAGTTCACATTAAAATTAAAGAAAATAATAACTTAAAACTGTATAACAATAATAAATATTTTTGGTGCATTGTGTTCTGTCCTGTTGAATCAGATCCTGAGGGAACATCTTTAGACAACTACCCCATCCACACCATCACAGGTCTGGTTAAACGTTGGCTCAGAGAGCTGCCGGACCCCCTCATGACCTTTTCCCTCTACAATGACTTTCTGCATGCTGTTGGTGAGTAAATATTAAGTCTCATTAGCACATTTTTAGTCCTTATTTTGAATAAGCATATTGATCATGTAATAAGAGATAATGATACACACACAGAATTTGTGGATTTGTTATGTTATCTTTGCAAACTAAATGGAGGTCTGGATCTGTTTTAATGGTTAGGAGGGAAAACAGTAGCAATTGCTGTGTGACTTTTTTCCCCTCCAACCAACAGTCCAAAACCAAATATGTTCAGTTTTATAAAATAAAAATAATAGAATTCATAGAATAAGACATTAATATAATATAATATAATATAATATAATATAATATAATTTTTTTTTAATTATCAGAGCGGTTGCAGATACATTTTTAGTCAACTATTAAAACATTTTAGAATCATTTCTGCCCTATTTGTAATATTCTTGTCCTGAATTCCTGTATGCTTCCATGTATGTTTACTCATGTTTGTGTTTGTAGTTTATTGATCTCCATGTTTCTTTTTCCCCCCAGAGCTGCCAGAGAGAGCTGAGAGAATGAGAGCTGTATACCAAAAGGTTGATGAACTTCCTCCTGCTAATTACAACACGTTAGAACGACTCATCTTTCACCTTGTCAGGTAGGACGATGTTTATTATCCACTTCTACTGCTTCTGCTCTTTGACTGTAATACTCATGTGTTAAAATGATTTCCACTATATTCTGAAATATAGGTAGCACAGAATCATCCACTCCTTGTGGTGATTATTTGACCCTTTTTTTGTTTGTGTGTGTCTTTTTTTTAGGGTTGCAAAGGAGGAAGAGCACAATAAGATGTCACCAAGCTCTCTTTCTATTGTGTTTGCCCCCTGCATCCTGCGTTCACCTGATATTGATGACCCCTTCCTTGGTATGAAGGATGTGTCAAAGACTACAATGTGAGTCATACTGCACGCTTTCATAACTTTTCTTGCATAATGAAAAAATCATAATATTGTACTGTAGTGTACTATACTGTATGTATTTCTAGAGATGAACATTGTTGTTGACCGTGTTACGTGCAGGTGTGTGGAGATCCTGATCGCTGAGCAGCTGAGACGATACAATGAAAAAATGCAGAATATCCAGAAGCTGGAATATGCAGAGGCCCTGGCTGTCAATCAGCTCAAACTGAGGAGACAAAACACGGTATTGAATTCACTGTCAAGCACTTTCTTGATTAGTTATCAGTTTAACTTACTATAATTCTGAGGAAAGTAACGTTCAGAAAATGATTTTAATGATTTTTATTTAATTTTTTAATTATTATTATTAATCCAAACATTTATACATGGCAGTAGTCTAGTATAAGCCAGTTATTTACCCCGCTGACAGCCAACCGCTACTGTGATCTCTGTGCAGATTGTTGAAAAGCCCTCAGAGCTGGACGTTCCAGAGCAAATGCATACGGATGAAACAGAGAGGACCCTCATCGATAGGATCAGATCCATCAAGAAAGAAAAGTGAGCTGAGATTTTTTTTTTCATTGGAGCTAAATGCACTGTTTAAATGTGTTTGAATAATGATATCTTGTTTTGTTTATTTCAGGGTGGACTTGGCCTGCAGGTTACCCGACCTGGAGCAGGAGAATTCTGACAATGAACTCAACGACGACTCGTCGTCAATGAGTTCATTGTCAGAGAGCCTGGATGAGCGCCTGGGGAGCCTAGATTCGGAAGGTCAGTAGGGAGGTAAGGTACCTTCACCTTCCTCTGGGGTTTAACAAGACAACTCACTAATAAACTTCATGTGTTTTTTTTTTTGTTGTTGTTGTATGCCCCCACAATGGCAAATGGTAAATTGAATAATAACTCCTCATGACAGAAGATAAGAAACCAACGATGACCAAAACATCATAGTCAAGGGTTTAGTATGCTTCAGACATACTGTCCGACATGTCGTTCATCAACCTTGTCCAAAGGCAAAAGTATATGAACGACCAGACT